TGAAGAGAAGAATAAGAAGAAAAATGGAGGAAACTTGAAATTGAAGATGAACAAATGACGGTTTATTTTGGAAAAAGAAAAAAAAAGGAAGAATAAATGTTGAGGGAGTTAGTGGGCTGGAGAAATAGGTATTGTTGGGCTCGGCAAATGTCTTTTAAATGCAGGTCGGGTCAACAAAATTTCCTAAAAAAAAAAGTCGGGCCAACAAACCCACTAGACTGATGAAACGGTTGGTCAGGTTTGACTGACCCAATAGTTTGTGTATTGTAAATAAGATGTAAACAAAAGTTTTTGATTGCTCATAACATTCTTGGTGCACACAAACATGTCGATTATTTTATTTAAAATCTGTTCAAATAGATGAATAATAATTTAAAATATTATAATCTTGTTAAAAATTAAAATAAAATTAGAGTTTGATTCACATTAAATTACATAAGATGATTAAGTTGTATTTTTATTGTTCTCCATTTAACATTTGATAAACAAGTTGAAAATTAATTATAATCATACATATATTTTTATGATCAATTAACTTGAAACGAGTTTGAAAGGGGTAAGGCGTATACAATTAGATACATGCATTAATCTTTATAATTATAAATCTCTTACAATATAATTGTAGTTTTATTATACGATATTACCTGCCGTTAGTGTTTTATCATTATTGTATAACTTATAACCAATTTAATTGTTCAAAACAACTGGCCAGTTGGATCATTATTTACATTATACTAAGTAAAATCACATTGCAAAGATCAGAATATAAAAACTGAAATTCAAAATAATTTATTTTAATAGAATTCAAGATAATTAATAGTCAATAGCTTTGAAAATAAGAGTCCTCTAGCTAGTAAGAATACTACGGAGTACATGATTTAGAGTGACTAAGTTCGATTTTGTTTTCCAAGATTATTACATTTATCTTCTTTAACAACAAAATCTACTGTAGTTACAATTTTATTTCCTAAAATATTTTCTAAAATAACATAATCTAGAGGGATTAAGATTATCTTTTTAAAAAATTATCACTTAGCTAAACAACATATTTATGGAAACTACTTGGCCATCAAGTAACTCATTATTCCTAATTCTTCCCAAATTCTTCATTTATTCCTATATGTATCATATCAATCATCATCATGCAATTTCATTTTTTACCCTGCAAAAATTATTCACGTACCCTAGGCACATTCGTTCGTTCCTTTAAGCATTTTCCTTCTTTCTTTTTCTTTGATCAAGTAAATTTCATATTGCGAAGCCTTAAACCCTACAAAACACTATGGTCATCAACAAGAATGATGATCGGAAGCAAGCCGATAAACGGACTTATGCTATGGCCTTTTCCGTACCAAGTACTTCCCAAGAAGAACAACCAAAAGCCAAGAAACAGTTGAGTAATAATTCTATTATCTCCACAAAACTAACCCTTTCAAAAACCGAAAGTGATCGAGTATCTATTGATGGTGATGGTGTTTTATTAGCATCAATTATTGACCATATGAAGCGCGATTTGACATACCAAGAAGTTACCGATGCCAAGATAATTATGGAGAAGAAACTCACAAAAGACGACATCGAAGGTAATCAAGGACGATTAGCCATTCCAAGAAATAGTCTCATTGAGTCGTTTCTAACAAATCACGAGGAAGAACACATTAATTTAAAGGTGGATGGAAATAAAAACTCGAATATAAATGTGAAGGTAATTGTTGGAATGTCGGTGTATGAAATACTACTAACTAGATGGAATTACAATCAAAGCGAGAAGCAAAAGGCGGAATATAGGGATCCCGGATATAAGTATGTTCTGAAGAACGGACGAAGTGGTGAGTGGTCTAAACTTAAGAATGATCATGGGCTAAAAAAAGATGATGCCATTCTTCTTGCAACATTTCGGCACAACAACTTTCTTCACTTTGTGATTATCAAAGGAACACCCGTGAAGCAGTTTGGAAAAGTAATAGGGTATCGATACTCGATGGATTAAGTTTGTCTAAAGTATTATGTTTTAGAAGTATTATCAAGTTAATCCTAGCTAATTAATTGAGTTAAGTATAAACAATTAGTTGTGTTTAGAGATTGAGTTTTTGACTTAGTATGACATGTTTTGAGCTATTTAGTAATATAGTGTAATATAGTCTCCAAATTGATATTACGATGTAGAACTAGATACAGTAGGTTTCAAGAACACTATGGTGATTAATAAGTGCCCTTTGATGATTTACGTCCGACTAAATAATGCATATGTATTATGTTACACAAATTTTTTTTTTCTTAAAAAGGTATATCCATACCAAAAATGCTAGAAATTTTTTAAACACGTATATATATTACTTTGTATTCATAATTCATACTTTCATTAGTGCTTATTGTATCCATTTTGCTATTAAAATACAGAAGCATTAATAATTAAGGCTCAAGGCTACACATATTAAGATATTGTAAACATTAAAGATAAATAATTTGATGGTATACATATTTATTAGGATTTTATAAGAAAAAAATTGTCTCTTCAATTATGTTTCTAGGCTTTTAGCTATCATGTTTTAACTCCTAGCTTTGTAATTTCCAAACCTACGTAAACACCACTTTGACAAATATTTTCAAGTGAACACTATTTTAGTAATTTCTTTATTAGTTAATACCAATTTGGCAAATCATTCGAAAATAACTGAGTCCCTTCTTTAATTAATTGACAAAAAAAGACAGTCCCTTCATTAACTTTTTGACACACAAAAAAAAAAAAAAAAAAAAAAAACCTGAGTCCCTAATTAATTGCCATTCATATCCAAAAAAGATAGGTCCTGCCATATTTGATAAACTTATTATGTTATACTCCGTTTCTTACAACATAAAATTACAAATAAAACATGGAAAAAAAGTAAAAAATAACCCAAAAATATTATATTTGACGTTTTTTGGGTTATTATATTATTGGGGGATGTTTTTTTTTTTAATTTTATTATTAGTAGGGATGAACAGCTCACATGCTATTTTTTTTAAGGTAACTGTATATTTTGTTCCTAATTAAAAAATTGTCCATGACTAAGGACCCGTTCTCTTCAGCTTAATTTCAGTCCTAATTTTCTTGTGTCATAAATAATTCAGTCAGCTTAGCTTAGTTCAGCTCAATAGATCAGAACAGGCCCTAAGAGAAGATATAAATAGACATATTTGTTCCTAAGAACTAATAAAAAAAGATATATATGATTAACAACTAATAAAAATAAATTAAAAATTTATGATAATATATATATATATATATTATAAACTGTATGATAAAATTAAATATGGTTATTTGTATTTCAAAAAAATAATAAAGCAGTTTTTAGTTGTACGTGATTTTACAAAGTGGCATGAGCAATATAATTGTCCATCTTTTTAAGACAACTGTGCAATAATTTATAAAACTTTTTTTTTTTTTAAACTATAAAACTAATTATTAGTTAACGGAAATGTAAAAATCAATTTTACGTTTATAGTATTTTTTTAAAAAAAAAATAAAAATAAAAAAATTGTCCTTTTATTTGAAGGATAATTTTGGTTAAGCAAAAATTTCCAACCGAAAAGGGAAGTTTCCTTTAAAGATTAACATAGATAACATACATAGGGGCCTATGTTTTTTAGTTTTCCAGGGTAGCTTTTTAAGGGACTCACTTTTTAACTGAAGGACTATCTTTTTTACTCACCTTTGGTTACTTTTTGGCCGGAATATACCCTTGAGATCCCAAAAGGTGAAAAAAAAAACATATGAGATCCCTAAAGGTGAAAAACTTAAAAAGATAGACCCTAAATTTATACTTGGCTCTAATTAATTAGATAGTGTGCTGTACTACCTTTTAATTACTCGTATTGAGAAGTAGTAATTTTAATTCTAGATGTTTTAATTTGATTATTAATTATTAGGGCCGCATGCATGCAGCTGTATTTTTTCTGACACTGTTTTTAGATAATACATGAGATTATTCACAAATTTCATGTGATTATTTTAGTTTCCTTAACTAACCCTATTGTTTATAAAAGGATGCATGTTTCCTATTTATTTGATAAACTTGAATTTGTTGCATTCAGAAGATGTAATCACTTGTTATTACATGCATTTAATTGATGAAAATTTTGAAAGAATTATTGTAGCTCGATATTGCAGGTAAAATTATCAAATTGATTTGCAGGTAAAACTCAAATAATCACTTGTATTTTTAGAGAGTACTTGAACATATGGTTGTTTCTAGAATTGTTCATAGAGTCAAACGCATCCGATCTCTACTAGGTTAAAGTAAAATTTATTTTAGATTAAGAATTGCTTAGTTATACTTGTACTTCGTATAATTTAATTGTCCCTTCTTGCTGTTGTCTTGGTCACCTTTTAAATATCGAGGCATCTAAAATTTCAAGTTTTTTTTTTGTTTTTTTTTTTTATTTTTTTTGACGAAAAAAAAACCCTTGAAATTTTAGATGCCTATAATAATGTGTGTATTACAAGGTCGTAGTCTAGAATTGAACCCTTCATTTGAGGAGGTTAGCTAGTTAAGAAAGTTTCTCAATACTATAGTAGGATCGAGCACTATACTACATAGGTTCCAAGTATCAATTGTACAAATTAAGTTGAGAGTTCATCAATACAAGTAAATTTTTTTTAAACACTTGTGTACTCTTGCAACTCAATCGCTTCTTCTTTCCTTTTTGGTTTAGGGTGGTTAGTTCTTACTCCATTTGGGTTTAACTATCATTGATTACGTAAGTTAATATAGTAAAGTGACAATTACATCATGAAGGAGTGAAAATTTGACATTTACATCATGAAGGAGTAGAAAATTGACGTTAAACAACCAATTGGTAATCTAGTTGTATGTGAGAAAAATGACGTACGACTGAAAAAATTTAGACAAGTAATCTGGTCGTGTATATGTGTACAATGGCGACAAGTTTTGTACCTCATCGCAAAAACTTAATTCTGATAGAAACTTTCAAAATAATACCAAAACACAAAGAAGAAAGAGTCGAACACAATTATAAATTATACAAGTAAAAAGAAGCAACCCAAGCCATCACCACACTATTACTACTTTTAAGTTTGGGTAACATATACTATAGCTTCTACACTCAATATACAGAGTTTTCTGATCTTTCTTGTTTTTTTGAATTTATAAAGCTTAAACCAGTCTCAAATGTTATTGAATTTCATCACGAAAGCGACACAATGGAGTTGAGTATTCCTCCGCCACATTCAAACCCTTTCTCTTTATGGTATAAAATTACTACATACAACAATTACCAGAACAATTTAACACAGATCAGGAAAAAATGTTGCAAACAGAAGAAAATGGAACAAACAAAACAGCAACCAACAAATCACCCCCCCCCCCCCCAAAAAAAAAAAAAAAAAGAAATATATATATGTATGTATATGTATATATCAGAATATCCTTGGCTTCACACGTCTTCCATTCATGTCTCCACAGTCTGGCATCGGATCACTCCCAAAACCCACTAAAGACATAGAATGCTCACTGACTTTAGCAACAAATTGCAGTAGTTCACTAATTACGGATGGACAACTCAACTTCAGGTACTCGAACCCTTCAGTCTGCATAACAGCTGAAACCCCAAAGACATTCTTTCGTTATTTTCAGATATCAATATTTCAAAAAAGTGCTTAAACAATAATAGCCCAAGAATGCGCATAACCTAATCATTTAGAGAAACAAGATTTTCTTGATTATAAAGTAGTCTTCAATTTTAAGTTTTGGTCTTTCAGTTTCAAAAAGTATGTAAGTTGTAAAGTCAGATAAATTATAGGTTCAGATGTGCTCCTCTACACAAGTTCAATTCACTCTTCACAACTAAAATAACTTCAGAAAGATTCCGATCAAGTATGGATAATTTGACTAGTTCTCAGGTCAAAAATGAGTTTTAACATGATATTCCTTCAATACTCAATAAGAAGCCTTTGTACATGATGAAAAGTCATAGTTGTGATTTACCTCTCAGATTCTCACATGATGCAACAAACTTCAGGCAAACAGATTTCAAGTGGGAGCAATGATGTTGCTCTGCCAATGCCAAAGTTGTTGCAGCGTTGTTTATAGCAACATCTTCACATAAGGTAGCCTCACAAAGCAGTTTGAGCCGTTCAAGTCCGTATCTATCTGCAGCAGCTAGCAAATGCTGGGCCATTAACGTGGAAGCCCCTTTGGAATTCAAACCTGCGAGCTCTTGCATATCCGGCAAGTCATCCCAATATATGAAGTGAAGCAACGCCTGTGGATCAGAGTTGTATACAGTAAGTTATATTTAGCAAACCACCAACTTAATGATGATCAGAGCCCTTGACAATCTTAACCTGGTAGGGTAATCAAGCCAAGGAACCGCTGCTGAACAAGATGATGAAGCCACTTAGAATAAGGAAAAGACCTTTTCAACTGCGAGTCATCAGATTCCACCTTTTGATGGAACATTTCTATTCCATATAAAAGTAGCCAATGAGCCTCAAAGAAAGCATCAAGATACTGTACATTTTTAAAGCTATCTTACTGAAGTTTCAAAATTGAACAACTTATAGTGCACCCAAAGAGAAAGTGAACGAAAATAGTACAATACTCAAAAACTCTTTCCTTAATCAAAAACCATCACCACTTGTTCATAGGATCAGTCTGATAATGTGTAGATGTAAGCAACCATAACCAACCCCCTCCCCAAAAATAAAAAACAGCAAATGAAGTATATTCTAAAATCAAAATTGTAAAGTAAACAGGTAACCAAAACTAAACAATAAGTGACCAAATCACCAAGCTCAGTCACCATCTTAGGAAATAACTCAGACCATAATAATAAGTTAATAATTTCCATATGAAATTAAGCCTAGTCTTTCTTTTTCAGCTTAACCAAAGCCCTAATCATGCACAATAATGACAGGGTAGGGTGCAAAGCTCATTACAATCTATATATCATCTATATCCACACTGCAAAAAATTTTGCATAGCAATGTGATTTCCATAAACAATTAAACGGAGCGGAAAAGGCAACAAGGAGCAGACACAACCATATTTCAAATCCCACCACAGTAACATGCAAGTGCAATACAAAGACAGATAAAAAGATGATCAGAAAGAAGTGAAAACCTTGAAAACTGGTGCTTCAATGTCTTCAACAATTATACATTTTGTGCTTTTATCCTTCATTGGACCAAAAAGCTGAGCCCTAAACACAGGTGAGCGTGCTGCTAATACCAACTTGTGAGCAGCAAATACTTCACCATCAAGTTAATCCTAGCTAATTAATTGAGTTAAGTATAAAATTAGGGTTCATCTTTTTCATTTTTTCACCTTTTGGGACCTTTTAGTTTTTTTTTTCCACCTTTTGGGACCTGTGGTTAGGAATCCGGTAACTTAACCCAACTTTAACCAATCGGAAAATAACGAACGATTTGCCGAATTAGTGTTCAAAAATAAAGAAGTTACTAAAATAGTATTTGATTAGGGGATTTTGCTCCCACCAATCGGAATGCGCCACGTGGGCCAATCAGGTCCTGCCAAGTGTCCCCCAGTTGGAACTGTCAGGGCTTGCCACGTGGCACACGCTTATTCGTCCACCTTGGACCTGTTATGTCATGACACGTGGCATACTCCATGCCTAATGGAGAAACCGGCCACCCAGGCCCAACTTCCGAGGGAAGCCCAATCGGCCCTAGGTTAACCTAAACCTAGGATTGGCACGTTTCCCAAGGTTATAAATACCTCCCTTAATCCTCATTAAGGGGGATTACGGAAAAAACACATTGATTACACCCAGAGTTACAGGTTGATTACGCTAAAAACTCACATTAAACACTCTCACCTAGAGAGACCCACTCACTTTAATTTCCGCATTAATTACTCCTTAATCAAGTACTAACTTGACCGTTGGAGGCGGAGCTCCCACCACCAGGAGTCTCCGTTGTTTTGCAGGTACAGGCGTCCGGTTCCAGTCTCGGAATTGTAACTCTCCCGTAGGACATCAGAAAACCCCGAAACATTTGGCGCCGTCTGTGGGGAGAGTACTTCTGAGATGGCATCCAAGTCTGTATCGACTCCTGAAGAGAGGCGTCCCCTAGACGACCCTCAAGTTCAGTCGGACCACGTTACTGAGAGTGAATTTGAAGTTGAAGCTCACACAGCTTCAGACGGGACTCTAAGGGCCCGACGTACCCGTCATACCGAAAGGAGGGAACGGGATCATCTTCAAACAGGAAGCGAGCCAGCAGGCGCACCGCTTGTTCGGCAACAGCCGACTGATGGATCTGCTCCCATCACAAGGAACGAACTCATGACCTTCATGAGGGACTTCAAGGGAGAAATTCAAGAGTTGATCAACAAAAAGCCGCCTGCTCTGGTCAAGGAGCAGTCGGCTAAGAAACCCTCCACTTCACTGAAGAGGAAGCCAGTTCAAGGGCGAGAGGCGACTCCTCATCCTAAATCTAGGAAGCGGGAGCCACCTGCCCTTGATTTCACAAAATTCCGTTTTCCTACAGGAAATAGGAAACCTGTTCGTCATATTCAGGCGGACGGGTCGAAGCAAACATTCACAGACGCTCGGCTACTGCTAGAGCAGAAGAAGAGTGACCGATTGTCAGAGTCGGCCTCTACTTCAAACTTTCAAGACAGTCTGCGAGATGCCTCGATGAGGCATACTAAGTCGTATCATGAGAGTCAGTCAGGCGGCACCTCCCGTCAGTCCGGCTTTCATAGCGACCAAGCGGTACCAAACTTACCATTTGTGCCGCAATAACAGTATTTTTTGCAGCCACCTCCGTTTGGTGGACCTGCAGCAAAAAACGTCCAACCTATGGACTGGCAGCTACGGTTGCTTAGACTTGGTGAACAGCCGTCGGCCTTCTCCAAGGAAATTACTGAAGCCGCTCAGCCGGCCAAAGTGAAAAATGTACTAGTAGGCGCCTATGACGGCACTACTAACCCAGAAGACCATGTGATGGCATTCACCAACCTGATGTACCTTCAAGGGTTGGATGATCCCACTTGGTGCAAGTGTTTCCCAGCGACTCTCAAAGGAATCGCACAACAATGGTTCGGCAACCTGCCGACTGGTTGTGTAAATAGCTTCAGGACGCTTGCTTACTTATTCACCTCCAACTTCGCCATGAACATCCCTGCGAAGAAGACGACCCTTGATTTAGGAACAATTCAGCAGGGCGAGAAGGAGGGTCTTCGTTCTTACATCAGGCGGTTTAACCTGATGAGAATACAGATTCAAGGGTTACCGGATGAGGTAGCCTATACTGACTTTTTCAGAGGTCTCAAGGACGGGTCGACCTTCAAATTTGACTTGGTCCGAAAGAGGGTGGCGACTCTTCAAGAGGCCTTGATTGAAGCGGAAGCCTATATACAGGCGACTGATCTTTGTACGGTAAAACAGTCGGACGGGAAAAGGTTCGACAAAAGAGAAGGACGACAGAAGCAGTCGTCCAACAAAGACGAGAAAAGAAAAGAGGTCTGGGCGGCTGATTCCTCTAAACAGCCGGCCCAGAAAAAGAAAAAAGAATTCAAACCATACTCCCCAAAGTATGCGTTTAACAAGGATAACCAGTTTATCCTAAAAGAAATCAAGGGACGGATCTCAATTGAGAAGCCGGTCCCCATGAAGGGTTCTGCAAACAACCGGAACCAAGATAAATTATGTGCTTATCATGATGATGTTGGTCATCACACCAATGACTGATCAGTCTCATGCGGTATCTGGACCGCCTGGCTGAACAAGGTGATCTTGACACTTATGTCAAGAAATCTACGGGGAACACTTCCTCAAAAAAGCAGTCGGCCAAAAAGAAACAACAGGCCGACAGCTCCGATACTGATGATGCAGTCGTCTACACCATTGCAGGCGGCTTCTCAGGAGGCGACCCCACTATTAGGGGCAACAAAGACAATATCAGGCGGTTAGATGTAAATTCCGTTCACCAAGAACGGCCGTCCAAATATTCATTTCCTGAGATTGTCATCACTGAAGAAGATCTAGGAGGGGTAAGAGGGCCGCATGACGACCCTATCGTTATTGAATGTAAAGTGGCCAACCAAAGGGTTGGCCGAATCCTCATAGATACCGGAAGCTCCTCAGATCTCATCAGTAGCAAATGTCTGTCGAAACTAAAATATCAGACTGATTGCATACATCCGGCCTCCCACCCTTTAGTAGGGTTTGGAGGAGGAGTCGTCCACCCACTGGGACGAGTGGATTTACCCATCCGCTTGGGCGAAAAAGGGGAAGGACGACACATGGTAGTCCGTTTCCTGGTAGTAGAAGAACTCTCGGCCTACAACATGATTCTGGGACGACCAACCCTGAATAATTCAAAGGCTGTTATAATCCCATCTCTTATGTTGCTCAAGTTTAAGAGGGATAATGGAACAGTCGGCTCCCTAATATCTCTCGGATGTCAAGCCCACTGTTATGGCCACTGGGTCAAGTGGTGGAAAAACAGACCTTGACAATGTCAAGGAGAGTGCGCCTGTTCAAGAAGCAGGCGGCAAGAAGAGAAAAGCATCCCAGACAGGTGCCGCAAGAAAAGACAAAAAAATAGCAATCATTGGCAAAGGAGCGGTCGGATGAATTCCGCCCTCAGCCGGCTGGTGAGCATACGGACCTGATCTTAGACGACTCACGTCCTGAGCGAACAGTCAAAGTTGGGACGACTGCTCTGAGAGACCTTGGTGACGACTTTCACAAACTATTGAAAGAATACAAGGACATCTTTGTATTCGAAGTCCATGAAATGCCAGGCATTAGTCCTGATTTGGCGGTACATAAACTGGCCGTGGATCCAAAAAAGAAGTCGGTACGGCAGAAGAAACGGAACCATGGCGAAGAAAGAAGTCAGGCGGCAGCCGCCGAAGTGAAAAAATTACTTGATGCAGGGTTCATTCGGCAATGTTACTTCCCAGATTGGGTTGCAAATGTGGTGCTTGTTAAAAAGCCGAATGGCACCTGGGGAATGTGTGTAGACTACACAGACTTAAACAAGGCGTGCCCCAAAGACAGTTACCCTCTGCCTAAAATTGATAATCTGGTCGACTCAACAGCCGGCCATGCTTTGATGAGCTTTATGGACGCCTACTCTGGTTTCCATCAAATTCCTTTATGGAAGAAAGATCAGGAGAAGACGGCCTTCGTCACTGATCAGGGGTTATACTGTTACACGGTCATGCCGTTTGGTCTTAAGAATGCCTCGGCTACCTTCCAGCGAATGATAAACACTGTGTTCTTTGATCAGATTGGGAGAAACGTCGAGGCATACATTGATGATATGATTGTCAAAACTAAACTTCAGAAAGATCATCTGTCGGACCACCGAGAAACTTTCGCCACACTCAGGCGGCACCATGTCATGCTCAATCCCAAGAAATGTGTCTTTGGAGTTGAGTCTGGGAAATTTCTCGGATTCCTTATCAATCAGAGAGGAATAGAGGCGAACCCTGAGAAGGTGCAGGCGGTCATTGACATGCAGTCGCCTCGTACCATTCGAGAGGTTCAGAAGTTAACAGGTTGTCTGGCGGCCTTGGGAAGATTTCTAAGCCGATCAGGCGACAAATGCCTATACTTTTTCCAGGCAATTAAGAAAAAGGCAAGGTTTGAATGGGGGCCGGATGCTGAGGCCGCCTTCCAGAAATTGAAAGTTCACTTCCATTCCTTGCCGAGGCTGGTCAGCCCCTTGCCCAAAGAAGTACTCTATATGTACCTGGCCGTCTCTGATCATGCGTTAAGCGCTGTTCTCCTTGCTGAAAGAGACGGCTGTCAGCTCCCGGTCTACTTTGTCAGTCATGTACTGAAAAATGCTGAGTTGAGGTATCCCTCAGTGGAGAAATTTGGTCTTGCACTCTTCATGGCTGTTAAAAAATTGAAGCCCTACTTTTTGGCACATGTAGTCGTCGTGTATACAGACCAACCTATCAAGCGGCCACTGACCATCATGGAGTCATCAGGCCGAATGATCAAATGGGCCATAGAAATACAGAGCCTCGAAGTTACTTTCGAGCCTAGAAAAGCAGTGAAGGGGCAAGCCTTTGCTGACTTTATTGTTGAGATGACTCGTCCTCCTGACTCTCAAGTTCCAGACCAAGTCTGGAAGGTATATGTGGACGAAAGCTCTACTTCAAATGGTTGTGGAGCAGGTGTCATATGTCAGTCGCCAGAGGGCGACAGGTACGAGTATGCTCTACGCTTCAGTTTTCAGGCCTCAAACAATGAGGCAGAATATGAAGCTTT